GGGCAAAGATTAAACTCTGGATTTATACGGGTTTTGTTAAAGGGTAAACTGCATTTTTATAAACAAATAATTAAAATTATATAATTTTAAGATAAATGGCCAATCTAGTTAACATGTATAAAGTTTTGATAAGCACTTGAAATGTCAAGTTTCAGTACTGAATTCAAAGAATTTTTCTCTTTTATCCATTCATAATAACTTAAAAAAAATTGTTTGTTAAGAAATGTTGTCTTAAAATATCTGCCTTGACATATATGTTAAAAGTGTAAAATTTGTAAATGTACCTACATAAACTTTCCCGTGAATACCATCAAAGCATTGATCTTGAAGGGAATCTATGTATGCATGCATGCATATGAGCAAATTAAAAAGTCGATACAATTTACAGTCGAAAAGTACCGTTTTTGTATAGATTATAGATTATTTCCCAACACTGTGGGGAACTAAGCAAAATGGCCTGGTGTATTTCGAAAATATTCAAATACATAATCCACCAACCGATAATTTTATATATTCATTAAGAGATAATTTGTCATCAGTCTGAAATAAAAAAATTATAAATCGTAAGGGTAAAATAGTATTGTGTTATTAATTCAAAAATAAAAAGTTTAAAGTGGCTACGCCACTGCTGCAGTATGTATCAAATTTCATAACATTAAGAATATACACACATATTGATGTACTGAATGTGTGTTTAAAAAAATGTAATAACTACAGTTAAGCAACTTTAAGTATAACATTTGTTTACACACGAATGCAGATTTTTTCAAATGAACGGGCAAATTAGATTTCTTCTTCTTGTTTGGTCTTATAACCGCCCAAGTAAAGCTCTACATGCACTTCTTATTTTGCTACCACGAGCGTGCATTGCGTTGTGTTGTTGCAGGGCTGGAGGATTTGCGCTTCCTTATAATGAAATGAGTGTGTATCAGTAACGACTGAATCGATCTTTACCAATTTTGGTAGCACCGCTTTCGGTCTCATTAAGTAAGGGGAAATTGAGGGCGCAAGGTGACAGTAGATTTTGAGGGGAAATTGGTAATTCTTGCTGGAAAAATTTTTGTCAGCAAGAAAAATAGCTGATCAAAGTCATCTGTTTGCAATTTATGAAAATAATGAAAAATATTTAGATAATTTTTAAGTTTAAAATAGCTTATTAGATCTGCAAATGTTTCGGCAGAAAGCAAATACTCATTTACTTACGTTTTTTATTTATATTATTTTCATGTTTTCTGTTTTATGCTTTTGAATGCAAGCAAAATTTCGTTCAGCTGTACTAACAGATTGCAAGATTTTGCTACTTTTTTTTGGATATTTTAAAATTTGGCTCACAAATTTTAACTTGGTTTTTGTTCTTCAGACACACGTGAAGCATATGAAATATGGGCAAATATATAATTATGATGGGATTTAAATGAAAATTCGCTTCTTAGTAAAATTGAGTAGGTACGCTGTTTTTGAATAACTTTCATACTTTCACTGTAAATACAGTTTGAAGTTGTGGTATGGTACGTACACATAGTTCGTTCTATTTCAAAAGTGAGGTGTCAAATGACAGGGCTTGATCTGTAGATGTGCACCAAAGTTTTATTTTTTTTTGAGACGTGTTGCCAGCTGTTACAAATTTTATTAAAATTATTTAATAAGTTAAACGGACAATATGGGTATCAATTAAAATGATTTTGAAACATGTTTAAAAAATCAAATTCACTTTAATCAAGGGAATAAGGTAACTGAAATATGTACATTAGGGCGGGTCGAAAATCAAATTTTTTTCAAATCCCTTGGTAATAGTGAGTATATATTGTGTCATGAAATCAACGACAAGCTTGCAAAATATTAGTATTTTATATTAATTGCAAGAGCCCGCTCATCAACCGCCATGTGACCCACAGCACACTAGTCGGATAAGACCAATTCTTGTCAAAAATTCTAGGATCAGCAAAAAGGTTTGGTGCATATTATTAGATAATGAATCCGTTCATACAAAATGTAAAGTCAAATATCAAAAGTTAAATGTTAATATCAAAGTTATCTGTTTTCAATAAAATTTGAATTGTTGTCTTGATAATTGCACTGGCCTATAGTCAAAAAATGTAAAGGGCAACACTAATATTGCTAGCGTGCATTTAGATCGCAGGTTCCAAATATTTTAATCTTTTTTTAATATTAGCTTCAGTTTGCGAATTTTTGAAAATTTAGGAACAATTTCGGTAGCTCTAATTGAAAAGCCATTATTTTCCATAATCGTTAGAAAAATGAGTATGGAAACACTGAACAGGCACAACTTCTAGAAACACTAATTAGTTTACTTATGTTTATGCATACAATCTAAAAATTGTAAATATAGGAAAATGACAAAAAATTTTGTTCAACCTTTTTTTTATTTTAAAATAATTTGTTTATAATCTGAACGATTTTCAACATATTATTATCATAAATCAGTAATAGTAAGTCTCGTCTTCGATTTGGTAATTATTACGTACCGATAGGGTAATATTTACCAAAGTTATATCGAAAAATTTAAGCGGATCTCCAGTTTTTTCTAAAAAAATTCTCTTCAATTGTATAGATAACTTTTAAATGAAAGAACCGGATTACAGCAAAGTGTGCCAGGGAGTAACTTTTTTTCGTTTAAGCTGAATGCAAAGCTATATCGTCCAATTGGAGAGTCCTCAAAAGGATTTCCCAGGATATGTTAAAGACTATTGCATTTACCTACAGTCCCTTTTTCACATAATGGAATTGATTAAAATATTTGTGTATATCTAAACATTTATTGCATGTCCCTTACTTTCATATAACGGAAAATTTAGAAACCGTGAAAAATGTGCTTCTTCGGTGACTAATGAAACCATTCCATGCCACTTAAAATGGGCGTTTCTCACCCTAATAATAATATGTTAATGTTTGTAAATACTTATATGCTTGAAACTACTATTAACTTATCAAACGAGTCCTAAGACATTATAATATTACTATTACAATACGGTCAAATGCCTTTTATTTTCACCCATACAAAATCGACCCAGCCTAGTGTATATTAATATCAGACAAAAGAAGAAATTGGACATGTTTAGCAAGAAATAAGGAAACAGTAAAAACATTCATGAGTTAATTTAACAGCCCAGCAATTTAAAAGCAATGTAATTAGAACAAGACAGTGGTTGACAATGTATGCATTTTCAATAAAATAGCAAATACGAAGTTGTAAACCTTTGGTTTGACGCAATTAATATTCTAGTTGAACAAAATTTGACTTGACAAACAGGTGGCAACACTCCTTGTAATATTTACAAGCTAAAACCTTCTTAAATTTCTTTCGTCTGAGTCCCATATGGTGATACCTATCTATTTCAATAACCTAACTCTTTTAATTCCAATGGAATTTGAATTTTTTAACAGCTGGCAACCCTCTACATTACAGTGGTTTAAAAATTTTTATCTGGAAATTCATTAACGCTACCTCAAATTATTGTTATTTGTGATAAAAAAAGAAACGTGTTTTTTTATTTTGGGAAAAAAAAGTTTTCTTAGAGGTCGCGCTGGTCGGTTTTTGTTCTCAATTTTTATAATATTGACATGTTAAAATGCAGCTAAAAATGTGGTTTTTATATATAATTAATCTGGTATTATTGGGGAACATTCCCTTAATTACATACCTGTCTTGGGCAGTTAGAATGGGCCTAGTGCCCGAAAATATGCTCTTGAAAAGAGACTAGTAAAATTAAAACGTTTGTACTGAACGATTGACGCGTTGTCATGGGTTGGAACTTGTTACCAGGGGATTTCTGAGGTTGCTAATTAGGAATCTGAAATCAGTTTTTCAAAATTCAAAATGGCGGATCCCAAATGGCGATAATTTTTTTTTTAAATGGTTGGATTTGTTCGAAAACCAGCACTTGGGAGTTTTTGGGGCGGATCCAATATGGCGATCAAATAAAAAAAAAATATTACTAAAGTTAAAACGTTGATACTGAACATTTTAAACATTGTCAAGGTTGAAACTCGTTTCCAGTTGGTTTCTGGGGTTGCTGATTACGAATCTGATGTCAGATTTTTAAAATTCAAAATAATCTTGATTATAAACAAAATGGCGCCATTTACATTTGAGTCCTCTCATTAGGATATGGATATACATTATTGTGACGGTATGTGCTTCTCTCTGCCAACTAATTTTGAAATTCTGAAAAATTTTGATGTCTTCCTTCGTTTTTATCTATTTTCTTTCAATAATTTTCAACGGGTCGCAATTCTGAATAGTTTTGTAGGTTGGGATCCCTTTGAACAATATGTACCCCGTGACTGACATACCAGTTCATGTCAAAAGGGGTTGTAATGGCACAATGCTAAATCGGGGACCGAACAGAACTGAGCCTTTATGTTGCTATATGAACGACAGCAAACGATATTGCAAACACTCCTTCATACAAATTTCTTGATTTATGGAGCCCGTCGTCATGATTTTTTGCTCTCGTGCCACACTGGCAGATGGCTTGCCACACCAAATACTTATTATTATGACAAAAAAATAACAAAAACCAAGGAATTTGTCCAGTATTTTTTAGTTTGACGACATCTTGGACTCCATTTCCTCATACTTTTCCATGTTTTTTGCACAAAATTTTCTCCGAAAGCTCACACTTCGCCGCACACATTTTGAAGAGCATGTAGAAGTTACAAAAAGTAGATACGCCAAAATAACAGCGACAAATTACCTCAGCAATTTTAAATATTAGTACCGTTCAGCATGCCGATCTTGTCAAAATTACAACAAACCGGTCGCTACTGACTACACCGTGTTATGATTTTACCATGATGTATGTTTTCTGGAAATTGTATGTTTTATGCCAATTTTGTCTAATAAAAATGCATTTGATTTTTGACTTTCCCAAATTATGAATTTAATCGTGTAAATTTTATATAAACTATTTTTCTATATATTTTTATGATATGTCGCTGGTTGTCCTCTGTGTTATTTTTTTTTATTATTTTCGGGCACATAAGTATTTTCCACGATTTTAATATGGAGTCAGAATTTTTTTGGCGAGCCCAGATACTGCAAGGTGACGGCGAGCCTGAAATGAAATTTTAAAATTACACATCATTTTTTCGTTGGTAATGGAATACAGCCGCCGTGGCCGAGTGGTCTGAGGTGCGTATTAACTCTCAGTATGTCCAGGGTTCGCTTCCCGACCCAGCAACGTAAAAAACTATTTTTGCTAATTGCGGCCGCCCTCGGAAGGCAATGACAACCCTCCAAGTGTATTTCTGTCACAAAAAACTTCCCAAAAACTTTGGGGCCATCCATTTGCGTGACAACGTCAAGATGCACACCACAAATGGGTGGAGAATTTTCAGGCAGAGTTTTTGAGTTAAAAAAGAGGCGTTTGTTTTGAAATTATGGTATTTGAAAGGGTGGTTGGCGTAAGAAACAAAAAACAGTCCATTGTCTTCTGTGGTTATACTACTTTTGTGATCATACGTATAATACCAAAAAACATGTTGCTGGATGTAATACAAAGTGAGCTCGGCGTCAATTTTTTGGATGAGACCCTCAAATCTTCTGCTTTTATTCTCTCACCCTTGGATTAATATCATCATGGAATCTTTGTGGCATCGGCATTGGTGGCATGGGTGGCATCGGTGGCATACCGTCTGGGATTGGCATTTGTGGCGAGCGGCGACGCTGCAAAAAAGTCAAATGCAAAACATGGGGTTTTAATAGAATGCCAGGAGAAAAGGTTATACCCCAAAAATTAACATAAAGAAAATATTGTGAAAGCAAGTTACAAAAACGCAGTATTTACCAAACTCATTATTCTTATTTACTCACCCTGGCACCGTATAGGCCTTGTGGAGCTTCTTCTGGCACTTCGTCAGCGGCCTTTGCTGAAGAGCGGCGGAACTTAAAAATATAAACAGACACAATTCAAGTTACTTCAATTTACTATTACAAAGCCTGCTGTAGATTACCCTTCCGTTATGCTCAATTTCCTGTGGCACCTGCTCAGGTTCATCGCCCAAAGCAGCTCGTCGGGACTAAAGAAAATTGTATTTTAATATACCTATACATTCGCATGTATCGAGACCGGTTTTGTAACGCATTTTTGAAGGTATTCATTCTTACTAGCGTGGACCGAAAATCCAAAAATATGGTTCATAACGCTCTAAAGACAATCGGACAATTTTTGGTCAATATCTTAGGCTCGCCCAAGTCCATCAAAGTTCAAGTGCAAAAAAAAATGTTTCTTACCTTCTTAATTCTATTCTCCACAAAAAAGGTCCGTGTACCAAATAATGTAGGACTAATACTTGCAATTTTAGTAAAAAAATGTATTTATTAATTTTTATTTTTTTTGAACACATTGAACTTTGATGGACTTTGGCGAGCCTAAGACACCAAAAATTGTCATCTTTCAAACAGATTCTTTTTAGAGTATTTTGAACCATTTTTTGCTATTACATTAAAATTCTTAAAACCCGGATTTTCGGTCCATGCTAATACTTACTCTCTCCATAAGCTCCTGTGGTACTTCCTCGGGAACCTCTTCGTCTGCAGCAGCGCGTCGAGCCTTTAACAAAAACTCAACATTAGTGTGCAATCATATATTGAAATAGAAATAAGTAAATCTTTTTTACACACCCTGTGATTAAACTCTTGCGGTACCTCTTCTGGCGGTTCATCCGCTTGGAGACCGCGTGCACCGCCACGCATGGCAGATCCTTCGGCATTCAAACAGGCAATAATCAAAATCATTGCGAGAGCAATGAAGAAATGTGCGAATCCTTTCATTGTTGCGGCAATAAAAAGTAGCAATATTGCTGTCGAAAATACAATGTTACTTTAAACATACATTAGGGTGGTTCAAAAGAGCAAAAGAACTTTTTGTAATTTTCCTGCTACAATCTCCCAGAATTGAAAATATCGAAACTACACTGTGGGAAATAACGCATAGCAAAAATTAATACTTTAAATTTGATTATCGTTTAGAAATGTACGTATTTGACTGTTCACATCTGAGTATGCATATTTAAGTCTTCATACCCTGCAGGAAACTTTAAGTTGATAAGGAGGGAGCTAAAAGTCACTGTTATCTGTATTTCTTTGACGAAAGCAAACTATATTTCTATGGCGATGGCCGCGAAATATTCAAGAGTGGTTACCTCATTTTAATATGCGCCTAATTGAATCAATTATTTACTGTATATTACTTTCGTTGACGTTTATAGTAAGATTAATCATATTTCTGATTGATTTTGAAATATATTCCCTCTGTGCAAGGAGTCCCATATTCTCTTATTTTCTCTGAAGGGAAATATTCTTATTCGATCTAAAAATATTTACGTTTACGACTCTTTACCAGTTCTATGAAAACTTGCATTCCCCTCATGCAAAATATGTGGAAAATTTCAAAGACCTGGTAGCACGGTTGAATGTCAACCGATTCCAAAATAAGGGGGTCTCCTTATTTTCGATAGTCTTAAATTCTGAAAAAACAAATTTGGACCACCCCAATACACAAATATAGGTATGTAGTATGTATGACTAACGCGCAGTCAACAGAATGTAAATTTGGAATATTAAAAGCTTAAACGGATCCTAAGAACTTACATGAATAATTTTGGCGTCGGAAATTCGGTTGACAACGAATGCTGTTAGGGCGCTTACAAATTTTATTTGCTAAATGCAACCACTGAAGCGATTTGCTGTGCAATTTATAGTTGGATTGCACATGTACATATGCATGCATTTGTGGCAGCGATGTCGTGCGCGGGATTATTGGATGTAGCGCAGTTTTGCTGCATGCAACGAATTAGACAATATCATTTCACACTTATCGAACAATCTACATCACAATAGATAAGCGAGGCAACAAGAAAATCGCATGCAGCGACTAAAAGTTGCATGTATGTAACTATTCAAAAGTGTTGTGGAAACTTTTCAATGTGATATAAAGTTACCATAATATTTACTGATCATCACGTAACATGTTGCTAAAATTGCTTTCGAAGTAGTTTTACTATAGCTGAAATTGTATTATTTAGAGCAATATTTTTATCTTTTGGTGCTTGAACGTTTTCTCAAAAAAATATTAAAGACAATATTTTGCTAACAAAAAGTGAACTAAAAAACAGAAAATAAATTTATACATACGTATTCATATGGGACGTTCCATGCCAACAAAGAAAGGCTTGTAAACAAAAAATTTAGATGATTGATTTAAGTGTGCTATGGCTTAAAAGATCTGTACGTTCGTCTTATTTGGAATGCTGAGTGGCATTTTTTCGAAAATTTTAAAGAATATATGGTAGATAAATGGCATTAAATTCGTCAAATTATTCTCAAACTTCTTATCCAACAGTTTTTGGAGTTCCTGAATACATTGATGGTACATTTTTAAAATTCAAAATGGCGGATCCAAAATGGAGGACCAATTTTTGAAAATCGATTGGATATGTTTGAAATTTCTTTTTTGGGGGGTTTTTGGGATAGATGGATTAGAAGTTAGTTTTTAGAAATTCAAAATGGCGGAAAATTTTTGAAAGTGTAGTCAAATTGGTGGAAACTGACAGTCTTTAGGTCTCTGATTACGAATTTGAAGTTACATTTTTATAATTTTGAAATGGCTTTTTACTCTGGGAGTTTTAAAATAAATAGTTGATTCGCCACTTCTCGCTCGCTATGTTTGAGTTCCGGTCGCCAGATATATGAGGTTCTAAATATTTCGACTGCAGCACCATTATGAATTGCAACCCGATTCTACAATAAATAGGGATATTCTAAATAACTCAACTGCATCGACACCTGGCGGGTCCATTTTTCGCATAGGTATTTTTCATCAGAAGCTCGGCCAAACACTAACATATGTGTAAGCGCCAATCTATTATTATTATTATTTTTCATCATGCAGGTAGAACACATTTTGAACTTGGACGAAATCGGTTCATAAATACGGCTTTTGTAAATAACTCGGCTCCATCGCCACCAACGAGTTTTCCAGTAGCCTTTAACAGGACTTTATTCGCAGGGATTAACCTCCGAAAACTTCACTTAAATCTATCCAGGGGTTTCAGTTAATTCCGAACAACGAAAACGGCTATCATTTTATACATAAATATATGTACATATATATATATACATAGATTTCTTGTTTTGTTATTAGTACCAGGTTTACCGAGATTTTCCCGGAGTACATATACTTTTTAAAGTTTTCAAGGTCTGGTTATCAAATACTTGTCATTTGGATAGCTTTAAAAAAATATTTTGGAAATAAAAAAAAAATATTTTGGATTTCGATATCTATTGAGTAAATTTCTTACCCTAAAATTTAGATGGCAACCATATTGCGAAACACGCTGGAATAAATATTACATATCTTGAGCGTATATGTACTATGTATACATATAAAAAAATGCTGATTGAAGTTAACCAAATAAAAAATTGTATTAATACAAAATAGATGGTAACACTATTTAAAATATTTTTGAATTAGGGATCTTAAAAATGCCTTCCATTTGATATCCATATTATGGTGTTTTAATTAATTCGTAACTCATTTTAAATAGGTGGCAACCTTATACGAGTCTTCTCGGTGATAAAGCCTATTCAGATAACCTTAAAATCCAAAACATTACATGTGTCCTAAATATCATCAAAATCGTTACAGCCGTTTCCGAGAACCCTATGGATATATAAATATATATATATATATATATATTAATGAAGATAATAATTATTTGAATAACGAATAAAATAATTTATTCGTCATTTGAATAATTCTGCTTTGAATAAATAAAGTTATTTGTTATTTGCGAATAAGGAGAAAAAAAATGTATTCATTTGTTATTCGTCATTCGAATAAATTTTGCCCGACTCTGATTGATACCCCTATTTACGAAATTTGATAATTTTTCTCTAAGAAGTGTCTGAAAATTTTAAAACGCGGTCAACTAATAGGAAACCTGTGTGGCCAGATATGAGTTTTTAGTTAAAGAGGTTATAATTTTAAATTATGACTTTATTACTCATTTGTACAATTTTGAATGTGGCTTTGTCTCACTAACGACATATTATGGTTTTGTTTCCAAAAAAAAAAAATGGACGGAACAGATGTAGCCTTGTTTTTACCGATAGTGTCGATGTCGTCGGCAGATGCCAGCAACTATACCTACGCTCTTGTAAAGTATTGTGCATGAGCTGTTCAGTTCTGCGGCTCCTATTATGTTCTCCAACATCATATTAAAGAAATAACAAAAAAGGAAGTCACCTTGTCTGAAACCTCGTTTGATAACAAACGCCTCGGTTGTGCCATTTGCCATACCATTGCTGCTACGATAAAAAAAAATTTGCCAAAATTTACATGGGCTGGACTGAATTAAAAATATGTACCTCTAATAATCTCACTATTTTCATTCCGTTGATATATTGCTAAAAAAATTATGTATGTAGGCTTTTTAAACTTAAACTCTTCTGTCAACTAAGGAGATTTTTTTGAAAAATATTTTAAAAAACTAAGTTTAATATTTTTTTCCAGTTCGCGTAAATCTTAATATTTTCCGAAACATTTTGGCTAAAGGCTTTAAATACATATACAAGATTTTATAATTCCAGTGGAAAGAACTTACAATTCTTTAGTTGTAGCTCACCAATTTAATTCGGGCACGAGGGGTTTAAAGTTGTATTCAATGAAACCTTTGTCGAATTTTTTCAACGCAAATAAAATTTCAACAAAAAATATTTTGATAAGCGACTTCATCATCCATTTGCAAAATGTTTAAGAATACGTATTTCCAAAAATATTATGTATATCTGCACATCGCATAAAAAGTAATACGTTTCACGACTTCTCTCCCACGTTCCCCAGATTAGTTTTATGATTCGTAAAGGAAGCAAGCAGCAACATTTTTTACGTGGGGCATACACACTACTACTTAATGCAAGACCGCGTATGTGAGCTTGCATAACTTATTTTCTAGAGAGTAAAAACACTCATATTTCAAAATGGTTCTCTTTTTTATAAAAAAAATCGCATTTATGCCCAGTATATTTCAGGACGAATGGATAAGGCTTGAGCCAATAGCTTGTGTGAACAGCTGAACAGTGAAATGTCAGTACTTTGTACTTTAAACGACGATAAATTTCTTAGAAATTTTTTATAATTTTTTTGCAACTTATGTGAATTCGTGTTTGTATTCATTGCAAAACCTCTAAAAATTAGCAAGTAATTAATAATGACAATTGTATCGATTATAATTAACTGAAAGTTACTATTGTTTTTGTTGTTGTAATTAGTGTAGGTAAAACTGTTAAATTGGCGCAATGAACGTGTTAGTTGTCATTTTAGTGGTTACCCAATTGCACTCGTCAAGTTGTTTTTCGCTATGTACTACTTGGATATGTGCATACTAACACGCATTTTAAATTTTTTATTTGTTTAATCGTTGTCGCATGCAATCGGAAAACATTTGAGTCTAATAACATTTACGCATAGTCATAGGTCATCAGAAATTTTTTGTAATTAATAAATTGTGCAACATTTTTCTGTTTGTGGGAATAACTTTCATTTTATTTTTTTATTCATCGCTGGCAAATTAAAACAATTCAATTCACAAATTATGCTGTTTTTTACGATGTCAGTTAAATTTAACTAACATTTAAATCACTTGTAAATTGAATTAAAATGTGCTTAGAGGCAATTGTTTTATGTCATTAATTCGCGCTAACGAGTTAAATTATGTATTTATTTAACTTTACATTGCTTTGCACGCAGATAACTTGACTGCTACTGATTG